CTCCTCTACCCACTCCAGACAGCCATTTTATTTTTTTCTGTGTATTAAAGGAGCATATTTTTTCTATCTCCTTCCTAGTCTTTCTCTAATTGATGACAGAGGTAGCTCAACACAAGAAAATGAAGCTCCAATGCATTCAGGCTTAGTTTCATTAGCACAAGAACAATAGTAGCAAAGACAAAAAGGCACAGAATTTACTGTCAGATAGCAGCTAAAGAAGAAATTCCCTTGCAATCTGGATATGTACTCTCTTTGCAGAGTACAGAAAGCCACTAAATAAATCCAAGATCCAGTTGGAGTATGATCTACCAACGACTTCTTGCATAACTAATCATTAGAAATCACAACACACATTCCACAGAGCCCAATATGAAATTGAGTTACTGTCATGTTAGTATGGTCTTCTGGTCTATTCAATAAAATTCTGGCTACTTAAAACCCCGAGGGATAAGTTCTGTTCTTAGTTATACTGATGTCCTCAATGGAAATTATCAAGAATAGTAGCCAAGAAAAGTGTTTAATGCACAGTATATATTTAAAGAAATGTTCACATGAATTCAGATTTTTTTATCTTTCCATATGAGAGCTATGTAATGAAAAAGACAACGTATCCGTTCAGTGCATATACAATTTTTTGTCCTGATGGAGAATACAATGTTTTGCAAAGATGATGCTTTATAAGCTTGTAAAAAATAACCACTTATCCAAACCATCCCCAAAACAAAAAAAAAACCTGCGTAGCGGTCCTCCTAGCCAGCCTGCAAAATCACCAGCAGCAATGAGCTCTAAAAAAGCAGATTTTCTTTCTATATTCAGTCAACTCACAACTCTGTTAGCAAGCAGAGAAGCAACAAGATACAGTCAAGACACCTGAACAGTATTAGAGTTCCAGGACTGGTAATTCTCACACAACGCACTGCTCAGGCATCCTGTGATACCATATACATCCTACTCACAGCATGTAATTGTTATCGGTTTCACCTATACTTGGCAATTTGCAAAAGACACATCATGAAAGCCCTGAATAGAGAGCACTAAAAGCACCTCAAATAGATAGAGCCTTAAACACAATCATCTTGGGGAAAAGTGATGCAGAAACAAAAACTAATAGTTTCTAAACCTCACCATTATCTCAGTAAACTAACTGCCAAACTAAGGCACAAAGATAGAATATAGAAAATAATTTATACCAATTTGCTAGGTTTTTCTAGGGTCACTTCAAAATTTTGAGAAGATTAAGAGTTTGCTATGGCAAATAGAAAGTAAAACATAGTAATCAGAAGCAGAGAAGTGTCTGAGGAACAATCATATAATACAAACAATATTAACCACATTATCCTGTCTGTAGAATCTGGGAAAAAAATACACTCCAAAATTGCAGAAATGTTACGATGTAAAATACTTCTTGCAGACTTTCGATCCAAGAGAAACCAACTTATTACAGTATTTGTTGGAGCCTGGTTGTAATTAAGTACAGGAAGGATATTAAAACTTCCAAGAGATTTTTTTTTTTTTTAAGCCACAACAGAAGAAAAGGCACAATTGCATAATTGAAACCAAATCCAAAACCCACTTCCTTCTTATTTACTAGCATCATCTAAAGGACACTATTTAGATGCTGAAAGGTCTGGAGCTGACAACTGTAAATCATCTACAAGTCAAAAATTTCAAAGCAATTGTATGACATGGGTTAAAAGTTTATAGATGAGAGATATAGAAAGTTAGTGCTCACTGCAAAACCACATCCTAGTGGTCACAGTATCTCTCCTGTCAATAAAATCCTAGAATTCTGTTTTGTTGTGGGGAAAGAAATCCTTTTCGGTAGTAATAAGCTGCTATAAAGCTATAGGGCAAAAATGTTTGCTACATAGAGTTTGAAAGAAAGGTATCTTTTTAAGATAATCTAAAAATATTTCTTTAGAGAACATGATTTCACTTATTATGTGGTTCTATACAGATCAGTTAAATACTAAATAAACTTGCCAGTCAGTGGGATATTTCTTTTAAAAGCTTCAGATCATTTTCATTGGCAGTTGAATTCAGTTCAATGGTCTTTGTCATTAGCATATCTGTGCAGGAAATTAATACCAAAAGCATCTTTCAGCCCTCCTACCCAGGGAAAAAAAAAAAAAAAAAAAGGAAAAGGCATGCAGAAAAGTGATAGCACAGACAGATGGACATGGATACAATATGTTTTTTGTTACAAAATAAACCAAGCAATTTTCAGGGATTTCTAATTATTTAAGTGCTTTAACCCCTAGGGGTTTTTTAACTTTCTGACACAGTCAAAGTCATCAACACTGCCCAATGAAGTCAGATGTATAGGTCAGCTTCACAATCTCAAGTTCAAATGAAGATAGACCAAATGTGCAAGCATGCTCCAGTGTTAGCTCAGTGCCTGGTATACTGACAAAAGCTACAAGTTTCACACAGGTTCTTGCTGTCGTAGCACTACTGACAGGAGGATGGCTCAGTAGCACTTTTTGTTCTGCACTCATAAAAAAGAGATTCTTTTTTCCTTCATTAAAAATTACTACATTCCAGTGAAACTCATGCTGAAGGAAAAGTTATGATGCATCTGTTTGACCTCTAGATCCCACCATTAATCAAGTGCAACAAGAACTTAAACTAAAAGTCTGCAACTTTAGGTTCCTTATTGTTTTGGCAGCATCCATGAGAGACTTCAAAAGGTCATTCTTTTTAAACATCCATCACATGAGGAAGAGCTAGCTTTAGATATCTCGGCTTGGTATGTAAAACCATAATCCCTTTGAAAGCATGGATCTTTCAAAAACCTGATCGTATCACAGTAATTGTCTGACTTTCTTTTAAAAAAAACAACATTACCACCAGAAGCACTGTAAGAGCAATTTCCTTTTTTACACGAATTTTTAGATCCATGCTACTCTAAGTACATTCCTTAAAGACTTAAAAGCAACCACCAGTTTTGCAAAAAAGAAAGAAAACTAACCAGGAAAATTACATGTTCTCAAAGAGACTCAGCTGTCAGTTACGTTTTTCTTCATTTTAACACATTTTTAATGGGATCAATCACATGGGTTTATTTTTGGTATTCCAGCACCTCATCCACAAATATTTTTTCCAATTTAATAAACGTTCTCATTACAGTCTTGGGCCAACACCCTAAAGTTAATTTGGACTGAATTAATAGGGATATCTAAAATGAAATACCTATTTTCTGAATAACAGCTTATACCCATACGCTCTTCAAAAAAATCAACTTATTTCAGTCTAATTTACCCAACACTCAAGCAAATAAAAACACTTATTATGCACTAAGAGCGTGCTTGCATGGAATTACTTCTTAATAACTTTTAGATTATTATAATTTCTATATATATAGATAACAAGCACAGAATGAGTTAATGTTTAAAAAAAAATAATCACTAAACTGTGCCTTCACCATTTGGTACTTCTTCAGCTAAACACGTAGAAGTCAAATACCACATATCATGCTTTGATCACTAACATCTATCCAAGCCTTTATTTGCTTTCTTGTGTATGCCAGTGAGTGGCCTAAAGGATGCTGATGTGGAACTTCAGATGGAAATTTTGCAGTATGAGAACACTTTTGTGCATAGCCAAATCTATCCTAACCAAGGAAAAAGATTCTAAAGACGAATGAGGTGACAAAGTAAAGTGAAATAAGAGAGTTACAGCAACGCCTAACTTTAACTCTTACTACTTTCAGCATTTAATAAAATATCAAATAATAACCAAGAAGGTTCCATTAAAAAAAGCAAAAAACAGTGGAACAAGGAATCAAAAAAATAACAGAATGCCTCTGGAAATTAATAGAAATTACCAGAAGTTCTTTTAATAAAATTAGAAGTGAAAAAGATCAATGAGAAGTTGCCATAATATAAACCACTATGATACCTTAAACAAAAAAAAAATATATACTTCCATACATATACAACATTTAATAAGAGTTTAACATACACTTAAAATATTTTTCTAAACTGCTTATTACATTTTTCAAATACAGATACAACATTTACAAATACACACAAGTATGATGAAGAGTTCGGTCCTTACAAACATTTCTGAAACAACTGAAAAATTCTTTGTTGATTTAAGGAAGGGCTTCCCCTCCTTTCCAGACCTGATTTCAGTAGGTATTTAAACAAGAGCAACCGCTATCATTAATCTCAATCATTACTGTCATTCAGTGACATAGGTGTGAAAGAACCTTTGGAGGTCATGTTGTCCAACCTCCTGCTAACACTGGAGCCAATTTTTTGCACAGCGGGCGCTCTATCACCTCTCAAATGTACTGACAGGTATAATGTGAAGAAAGATAAAATTGAATCAAGACAACAATAACAGCGCTGTAGTAGCTTTGATTAGTACTGCATGCAGTTTTGATGTACATTTTAAAACATACACAAAAATTCCTATGCACAATATACCCAGTTGTTACCAGCAGGTATCTACATCAGCAAGACAACGTATCATCCCATCACGTGCAGCTCATACCAACATCACTTTCTTTTTGTAAATTACAAATCACTGCACCAATGGTGTTTAAAATGAATTTGACACTTGGGTGATACTTGATTACTCTTGGTGATTTTGCACAAGTCATTTAGTCACTGTGGTAGTGAGATTACCCCGTGCCAAGGTCTCCCTTCCAGCAGTGGATCACCATTTATGCTTGTCTATCTCAAACTATCTGCTACAACTGTTACTTACAATCTCAGGGATGTTATAAACCTTGATTAACCCGTGTTTTCAAAAAACATGGAGGTCCTTTGTAAAAAGCGAAAATTAAACATAACGCAGTAGCAACTATAATGATCTCATATAAAACGGTCACTATCTGAGTGGACGGATAAAGAAACTGTCACTAATGCCATTATTGTCATCATTATTGTTGTCATTAGTTGTATTAACTAATTTGCATTAATTTATGTCGAAATGGTATTCTTAGCTTCAAACAGCTACACAATTAAAAGCAATTTTTTTGAAACTCCTACCTGAGACGACAAAAGATTGCAATCAATGTGAAGTCCTTTCCCCGTCTTATACCTCTGAAGTAAAGCAGCCATAATTGCTCCATATGCGTACAACCCAGTAGCAAGATCTGTCATGGCCACTCCTGGTCTAACTGGCTCACCATCCTAAAGAAAAAGAAGAAAACACCCCAAAACAAAACAAGACAAACAAAACAAAAAAAAAAAACAAATAAAAAAAAAAGAAAAAAAAAAGAAAAAAAGAAAACAAGCAGAGGCAAAACATTACTTTTTGTTACAGGACATTCTACACAAGACTCGCCTGAAAAAGTGTCTACATGTTTCTGCATTACAAACTGCAAGAAATAAGAGTATCTTTGAGTGAAGTATAAAAACTACCACTTAAAACCAGATGTTCTTGCAGTCTCTATACAACACTATAAACTCGCAATGCTGCAAACTGCGAATGATTTATTATGCTACTTTTTGCCCTAATAATGTAATGCTTCAACTCACCAATGCAAAAAGAAAAGAGATGTTGTTAAGAGACGAGAATCAAGTGAAAACTGAATTTCATTATGGCTAGAAGCAATAGGTCTAAAGGACTTCCACAGTATGCTGACCTGGGTCCATGTCTGTTTGAAAGGCAGAATTATATTACTTTGCTCTTCTCACTCTCTTTTTCTCCCTCCTCTTCTGGCCCTCCCCAAGCCAAATCTCAGTTTTGTATTTTCCAGTATACACACTTCAAGCTTCTAGTGGGAAAACAAAACCACCTTTGTTTTGTTTACACAGGTACACATTACAAATGTAAACACATGCAGATTCTTGACCTTCTCACCAATAACCCCTGGAAAGTTGTTGGTTCAAATATCCTTTTTCAGTATGTCACCCCTTTTTCTGGCATCAAGGGAAGAATCTTCATTTTACATCATGTGTTTCAGAACTTTCCTAATCGCTGGCACAAAATATGGCCCCTCTGTAATCAATGGCAAAATGAACTTCTAATTTCAGCCAAGGTAGGCTTTTACCACAGGAGCCTAAAAGTTCTTCTGAGATGCTCTCCCATTTCCTACTCTGAAAATTTTGAGGTTGGGTGCTCAGATTCTGACAGCAATTGCGTGCCCAGAAGTACAGTCTACAACTAGCAGCACAAAGCTAATGGGTCTGTTTCAGAGTTTCAGCACCTAAGTAAGCCTGTCATAAGCCAAGTTAAAACCAGTATAATTGATAAATAAAAACTGTTTGTCAAAGTTCCCATAAATGCCTTTAAACTAAACTAGCACAGCATCAATAAAATTGAATTTACAAAATCACTTTAATTGGGCATGTCTAAACTAAGTGCAATCATAATTTAAGATTCAAGAGAGTTATGTTTACTGATAATTATAAAAAAAGTGTCTTAGCTTCATGTAAAAAAAATTAAAACTTATCTTCACAATGTTTTGGGGTTTTTTTTTTTGCATTCCAACAGGATTTACGTAACTGATATCAAGTCATATGTAAGCTAAAAATTATTTTAATGAAAATAATATCATATTGCATTATCAATTACATTAATTCTAGGTCAATTCGAGGATAAAAGACTGTAGTACTGTATTTTCTATGTAAGATGGAAAAGGCTGCTATTTTATTCACATCATAAAAACAACTAAATAAAATTGCAAAATCTGTATCAAACATGACAATTTAAAAAAAAAAACACTCAGTTTCTGTCATTCAAACTGCAGTAAGGATTAGTCTGTGACTATCTATAGTCTAGATATTAAGGATGATGTATAAACTACACATCTTAAGGTCAACACTGCTTTAGAAGGTACTTCTTTTTTGAAGAATCTCTTATTTCTTCCTTCTCCACACTCTACACTAAGCTACTTCAGCTTCCTGATAGAAAGGGAAAGGTTCTAAAAATACTTCACAATTTTCCCTTACACAACACTCCTACAAACTACTAGGACTATACTGCTATGTTATTTTCAGTATGTTGGCTTTACTTCATCCGGACACTCCACCACCTATAATGCTGCAGCAGTTCACGCAATTTCTACTTTTCCTTGGTCTTTCTACCAAGGTCCATGAGTAGCTGCTCTTTTTCATCCTCTGATCAGCTTCTAACATCCACCCATGCCTTAAATCAGCCTTTCTGTGACAGGATACATGGCTGTAAGTACTGTGAAATGGGGATTCATTCAGGTTTTCATCTCTGTCCTGCAGAACGATGGATATGAAGCTGCTTTATAGGAACAATAAAGCTACACACACACAGAGAAATACTTTCCGAGAGTGAGCTTCTGACAGCACAGCAATCCTTCTGCGTAGCTAACATTATACTAGTTCCCTGAGAAAAGTAGGAATCTATACAGTAGCTTTTATACAAGCAAATCATTTTAAAAGTAACACACACCACCACACCACCCCTGCTAGCCAAAAGTGATATTACTGTTCTGGTAGAACGGCAAAATGTAGCCCTAGTCAGGGAGAAAGTGCTTTAAGCAAAAAAAGCCACCATCCAGTCTCAAGGGCTGGGTTGAACCCTAATTAAGGGCAGCACCAGGACATGTCCTTTGCTCATTTGAAAAGACGAAGGTTCACTCCAGTAGAGCAGACTTCTTCCTTCACTGCACTTTGCTATTGCTCAATCTTGCCACCGGTTTACACTTGTATTCCTAATTTTTGCTGTTTGCTAAATGCCTTACAATTTGTCAACACATTCTGGCCCACAGATAGCCACAACACATTTTGGAAGCTTCCTTTCCTGAGGGTTGTTCCCCTCCCCCCCCTTTTGGACATAATTTCTCTTCCCAAATTTACATCAGTAAAATAAAAATGATCCATTAAAAATGGAAATTGTTCTGAAATGACATGCTTAATAAAAGTATTTTAAGTCCAGTAGTCTTAACAGATGGGAAAGAGATGCTGAAGCTAATATGAACCAGCAATGGCTATATTTTTCAACAGCTCTAAGCTATATACCATGTGTACTCTTTTGTTGCAGTTTGTTTGGTTTTAAGATGAAGAATGGCCCCTCTGGTGTTGTAGATCCCAATCATGTCTTGCTGTGTCGTGTTCAGTGAAACAAAAATCTTTCTTCAGCAAGAAAGAATGCACCACCATAAAGATACCCCGAATAACAAAAATTGTGTGTAATAATCCACTTGGAGGTGGAAAGGGATTTGTATCCAAATTGGTTTTTATTTAATTAATCTCAAGTTATTGCCTTAATGAGTCATAGAACTCTTCAAAGGGATATTCATCTGGCACTGATGTATCTGAATATATTAAGTAAAAGCTTTCTGTTCATCAAATATGAAACGTGAATGTGGTGTTTAACCAGGAAATATCTATAAATTATGTCATTCAGGACAATAAAAGTGTCATCAGTGTAGACTTTGTCCTTTTAGCATATTTTAATTTATGTAAAGAAAAACTGAATGTGGCCTGAAGCAACCACTTTCATTCAAAATGGCTTTGCAGTACAGATTTACACAAAATAGATTCCTCACTATTACTTGTAAATTTTCATAAACACACCAGAATTTCAAATTTCACAGGTGTCATACATTTCTTACCCAGAAGTAATCAAGTACATGCGTAAGAGCGTGAATTCCATGGAGGTTTCTGCACATGAAACACGGTTTAAAGATGGCATTCTACAGTACACTGAATGTGTTTGGCTTCGTACAATCAGCAAAAACACCACACACAAAAGCAGTTGTTTGTGCCTGTAACTTGAAGTTACAGCTTCATTTCAAGGTTGAGAACTTTGCACTTTGCTCAGAAGCATTTCAAAGTCATCAGCATTAAGTCATTTCAGCAACAGCTACTTCCCAGCAAAAACACAAAAGCAAGCTGTTCAGAATTTCTTAAGTAGGAATCTTCTCTTAGACCTTAAAATTCACATGAATAAAGCACATGATCTTGTCTCTCTTTCAAGAGGTTTATGCTCTGTTTCAAATGTGATATTATTATCTATCTCTGGTGACTTCCACAGTTGTATTACACTAACTTTAACTCCTTAATAAAAAGGTAACTTGGATAAAATGCACACATTTTAGCCAGAAACTTCCATCTCTTCCACCGTGATCTCTACTTCCTCAACAAGTATAGTGTTACGTGAAATAAAAAGTACTGAAGAAAGTTAATGTTACATATGTGACAGACTTGATGAAAGTTTAAGTTTTGCTCAAAATCCTGTGCTGGTAATATACTGATTTCATGGCTTAATATTAGGACTTCACTGACCGAAGGCATGGCCTCAGTACCCAATAAAGTTATGTGTTCTGCAACAGTCAACCACTTTCTGAGACATTAAATCAGTAGCAAGACGACTGGAACAAACTAAATTTCACAACACGGAATTTCTCTAAACTAAAATGGAATATATGTTGCTATTAGTTCTATCCAGATACAGGATATAATTTTAATATCTTATTATTAAAATATTTCATGAGGAGCTGTAGGAACTGAGGAACTTAATTCTGAGCTATGTAGATGTTTTCTTGCTGCTGCTCAAATTCATTATAATTTGTCTACTGCATCAGCTGATACCTCTAAAACCATCCTGCAAGCACAATCAATGTTTTTTTTCTGAAGTTCCCTCAGAACATTGTTATACTGTTGTTACTATGCTGATTATCTATAGCTACCACAATGCAATACAAAACCAACATCATCCCTTATAACTTCTCTCTTCCCTCCCACCAGTTCAGAAGACTGGCATTTTCAATTTTATTTAAGAAAAAAAAAATAAATCATACTCTAGTTTACCAGGGTATGCTTCAAATGATCATGTTACTTTTAGTATATGAAATCCATGTTATCTGGTCAACAAATAATTCAAGGTTTAATAAAGAAAAAGAGCATGAAAAATCAAGTAATATTTTCTTCTTTACTTTGGCCACTTTTGTACATGCTGACTGAAGTAAGGTTTTCTACTTTTTTCAGAGCTAGATTCATTGGATTTTAAACTCTACTCAGTCACATGAACATAAATGTAGAACAAGGAAGATTTTACTATGAATAATGCATTGTTATTTTAAAGTAACTTTCAAACAAGCATACAAAATGATTTTAAAGCCACTTGAGTATATTTTCACTACAATAACAAAAGGCACATTTGCTTCTTTGGAGTCACTGACCACTTAAGCATTTGAAACAAAACTTTCCCTCTATACATCGGAAAATGATTTTGAGAAACTGAAGAAATAATGTATGACCAACTTCAAATAAAGAAAAATAAGAAGCAAGTTTTCGCATGTTTATTTTAATCATGCAAGAGAATGACTAAGTTTGAATGAATTGTTACAAGCCCCCAGTGAATAGACAGAACTGTTACTAAGAATGATTAAATGATTCCGATGATTACATTGCCTCGAGTCCTGGTGAGGTGATGTGAACATCTGGATTTCCAGTGTATAACACGATCTTTTAATAAAATCCATCTTCATAATGGCCACTGAGGACTATTACTCTCATAATACAACTTACATGCAATTATTCAGTATAACACTTGTATTTTCTCTCATTCACATATCATTCAAAAGCTTTACAAGAGTCCTATTAAAAAAAAAAATAACATACTTTCCTTTCTTCGTGTGGTACTAACAACATTTGCCCCTTTCTAACAGCTTACACTCGCATTTAATTTTGTTTATTATATTCTAAGGTGTGTAAGAAGTTTCCGGCATTGTATTGCAAGTACAAACCTTCACTCTACAGACACCAAGGTCAGATCATAAAGATCACTCACTCTACAGCTACTGTGATCAGTCATTGCTTGGAGTACACATGCACGATACATTTGAAGAGAAGCACTTGTAAGGATTGCACTCAACCTCGTGTCCTGAGATGGGACATCCTAGGAGTATGTATCATTAACATGGCAGCAGTGGGCAGTCTTCGGACAACAGGCATCAGATGTTTCAACTTCCTCAGTCAAACAATGCTGTACTTTTTGTTTTGTTATAGAAAGGAGGACTCTGGTAACAATAATTGTCACAGGCAGAGTTCTGATGTTTGCCATTGTTCCTGGCAGAAAATAAGTCTACTGGCAGAATATCAATCCTACAGTAGAGTTACGTCCAGATCATGCACGGTTAGCTTTCAACAACCTACTCAAACACGAATATCTGACACTAAGTAGAGAAACAATGAACTCCTTGTTTATCCAGAGCATGCAAGAGTCATTCTCAAGATCTGCACTACTGCTTCCAGAGTATCAGGAGCACCACTGCAGAAGACTATCTAGTGTTTATGATGCATAGAACAGACTTGTAACACAATCTCACTTGAGAAGTGACATTTGCAGACCACATTCCCGGCATCCATAGGTGATTCAAGACAGCTTAAGTAAACATCTATTTGACCAGCATTTTTCTGAGGTGAAGACACACATTCTATGTATCCCTAGAATCCAGATACTAAACTACCTCCATAATGCTTCCTGCACTAGTGCAACTACCAAAGATCCTGGATATCAGTGGGAGTAACACCACATAAAGCTTTTTCAGAACCACTAATGGCATCTCTCTGCTTATTCTCAGGCAGGATGATTGAAAAGAGAGTTTGTCAGAGTTATCTGGATGGCTTAACAATTCCTTCTTTTAAAGGGGGAACATCAACATCAAAGCGTTGGTGAGAATTCCCAAACGTGTGCATGGTTCCATCATCCAGGTGTCAACAATGTGCTATTACAGCTCTTGAAATGATTACAAGCAGCCATTAACAAGTTAGCATAAACTGTCAATTTGTTCACTGGAGATTTAGTGATTTCATTTTTCTTCTGTTTTCTGTTTCTTGGGCATTGGCTTTGTGAGCCTAGAGTGAGATACCTGAAGGATATAAGCACTACAATTTCTTAGATTCACAGAGATAAGAACTCCTGTTGGACTCAGGAGGGCATGCATAACAGATGTGTTAGCACAGGCTAACTTGCCCCAAGCAGAATCAAGTTTTACTACATGGCACAAAGATTGTATTAAATTTATAAGTTGAGCACCATACCTCATGCCCTGTGATATGCATGAGACCAGAAACAGCAGCTGCAACGGAGTCATATCCACTTCTCTGAACCATTGGACCATTCTGACCATAACCTAAAACAGAAAGAGAACAACTAGTAATTGAATCAAGGATAAGTACAACATGAACACATATTACTATTTTAGTACAAAAAGGAATGAACCAGTATTTCTCATCAGCTTTTGTTCACAAGTTGTCCAGATTGTAAAATCAATGAACACTATTGTATTCTATTTATTCCTGCACATTTTTAAGAGTAAACAGTTGGATTTATCCTGCGCAGCTTGATGATGTGTTTGATCTTAACTACAGACACATTCCTGGCCCTGCTATGTTTCATTCACTTTGGACAGAGAATTCCATTTTTACTGTGCTGGGTCAGCTGAGGTGGGATTCAGATTGCCGTTTCAGAGGCTCTATGGTATCTCTACAGGCCTCCAACTGCTGCCCAACAGGGCCCAGGTTGCCCATGTTGTACCTCTAGTCTGCCATAAAGATATCTTGAATACCACAGACGATACTCAAATCGTGACACTGTGGTTTAGACACACTGATTGTTCCCCACCTTGACTTCTCTTACTTTATTCCACACCTAAACAAACATTGCTTACAACTAAGGGCAACGCTGGCCCTTTAGCACGTACACACAATATGTTTGCCAAGAGTTAGCAACAAGGAAATACTCCTCAAGTACGAAAAACTTTTATGGAACTAAATAAAAACGGTTTTGTTCAGCTACAGAATTGACTTAGAATTAACAGCTGCAGCCAGAAGGATGCTCTCGAGCTTTTCTCTGCTTTAAGTCATCATGTTCTTCCAACAACCATCACAAAATCTTCCAGCTGAGGAGGTCTTGCAAGATCAACTGAAGAGGTTACAAATCCAGATATCAATCCTATTCCCTTGCCACGGATTACTGCCTGCCAATCACAGTAGAACCTAATAATTTAGGGCTGAAACTGGAGGCAGTGAATGTATTGGGCTTGTATAATTTAATGACCTTAAGCAGTCAAAAAGTCAAGTCTGGTGTTCTTTTGTGGAACCTGACCACACCGCAGAGGGGAGAAGTCAACAGGGGAGGAGCAACATGTTTGATTGCTATTATTAGAACTAATAGAAACTGTCAGAACCCTTAAGAATCACATTAAGAGTCTCTCCTCCTACTCCAGGTAGCAAATTCAAAAGCTCTTCTCATGCTTTCTCTTCCTTTTTCAGATATCGCTAGGAGAAATCCCCTAATTAGTTAGAAGATATTTTTCACATGCAAGATTCCTAGTTCAGCTGGCACTTTGAAGGCAATGTTTCTGTACGATTCTTAACTGTGAGGATAGTATTAAAATAAAAATATATCAACATATACTGCAAGATAAAAGTTCCTGAACCTCTTAAAATTCCTTTTGATTATTCCCCCGGAATAATCTATATATACAGACAGTCTGTTTGGTAGATGTGACAGACTAAGCATCGGCTTTGTTGAATACAGCACACAATTAAAAATCCTTACTGATTGGGGCAATCTTCTTCCACTTGGACCAATGCTGTTATGTACAAAATTCATGAATTACTTGTGATGTTCAGTGCAAGAGAATTCCAATCACTTCAAACTGGAATTAAAGCACTTTATTACTCCAATTAATATTTAGTAAACCATACCAAAGAAAACAATATCCACCAGCCATACCGATTTCCCCATTATAGCACAAGCTATCTTAAGTACCTGATATTTTTCTGGAGACATCAGATCCACACTGTGCAAAAGCTGAGGAGTTACTCAACTTCTACACTCAGTGTCACAGGGAATATCAGGATCCTACAGCCAGCACATTGACTTTGTCAATGTAGCCTCAAAACAAACATTTCAGAAGAAAGCATTTAGCACTTTTCTTATGGTCAAATCTGAATCTTATTGACTTCACTATTCACAAGAGAAGAAAAAACCCTCCTGGTTCACCCAGTGTTATAGGAAATCATGCCTCTGACAAGAACTGACTGTGACACCCTAAAGAGCAACTGGTGACATTTCCTTTCATATTTACACACTTAAGTCTACAGAAAATAAGTGTTTTCATTTTCAAACATAACAGGGCTAGCAAATAAAATATGATGGATCCACCCAAAAATGCTCTGAAGGACTCTAACAAGGCATATACCATTATCTCATAGGAATGAACTGTAGCATTAAAACCATTTAAATGTGTGGGGCCACTTCAAAAACAAAATCTTGCTCAATAAAAAAAAAATACTCAAAACAACTTTAATTGAATAGTGAAAAGCATATTGAAGTAAGTGAGAAATTATGTACTGGCCTCAATTATTTAACAAAGAGAAGACATCTCAACACATCTGCTCACACAAATGTTTTCATAAACAGAAAACATCTGAAAATCAAACATTTAGTATGTAGACAGAACAACTATAAAATGCTTTGCAATGCTCTTCTGGTAAGGACAAACACCCATTCTTCAAATACTACATTCAGGAAAGGTGACAGGCAACAAGTCATGCATTTTTCTAGCAGTATTTTAGAAACACAGTTTTTTAAGTCCTTTTCACACATTATAACAGCCTGGTTTCAAATTAAAAGTTATTATTTTATGGCCTTTTGGTTAACATTAGAGGTTCTAAGGAAAGTTTAATTAGTTTTCACAGGTCACAACAGATTAAAAAGAAAAAATACATAATTCTGCTTTTGATCCAAATTCTGAATTGACAAAGCTAGTGTGGGGACAAAATCTGTTGTCATTGGAAATAGTCTGCCCCAGGAACCATGGACATATAAAACGCCTGGAAGAAGAGGCAGCCATCTAACTGTAAGAGTTAAGTGAGAAATAGCTATTTCTAAAAATGAAAGATCTCATTATCCAGATAAAAATCAAAAGCTGAACATTATTATTCTAGTAAACTATACAGGTCAATGGAGCAACTCAGTTTGTTTTAGAAATAACTATGAACACAAATTCAAAAAGTTTGAAGGGGAGCACAGAATTACATCCAGAAGACTTTCAGCCTGGTGCACAGATCTCACCATAACTGTAATATACACACACATTT